GACCGCACGCATCCTGAGCCAAACCCAAACTAGCCTCATTGCCATCACCCTTCCTAGCTTGGGATTTTCTCTTTAGAGACCAGCCCCTCTCTTTGATCTCCTTCCTGAGCCAAACCCAAACTAGCCTCATTTTTTTCTTTTTCTTCCACAATCATCCCCAACTTCACCACGACAGCTAGCCACTTCCCTATCTCGGTTACACACAGACCAGCCTCTCCCTCAACAATAATGGCTAGAACAATAGCTCAAAGCCAACCTTTCCCACATCTACCGTGACCTGTCACTGCCAGATTTGCCCACCTTCTTCATTTAGTAGTGATAGCCCACTCCCTGTGCAGCAGTAGAAAAAACCAAAAATAGCAAAAAAACAGTGAAAACCCTAAAAAAATACATTTTTGATATATTTGCATTGTTTTTAGCATTTTCAATATAATCTCAAAAAAATTTAAATTTTCAAAGGCATTTTGAACGTTCAACTTTTAACGGGTTAATTTTACAATCACTAATTTTTCTTGTTGAGTCGACGTTGATATTGCTCGCTTTCAAAAATAAAAAAAAATCAAAATTGATAAAAAATAAAGAAATTGAGGAATCAATATGTTTTGGAAACCAAGCCACTTTGCCTATAAATAAATGTTATAATACACAAAATGGGGGAGAAAATTTATAGGAGAGCAATTTTGCACAATTAAGGGAACCACAAAAAACTTAAAACCATAAAAAAACCTAAAAAACTAGAACCTTTTCTTCTCCCTCTCCCAAGCGGCCAGTCACTTCCCCTCTACCAAAAAAACCAACAGCTGCCCTTTTTCCTCTGCACATAAACACCTCCCAGACACACACACACCCAACTCCTCCACCCAACAACCCCACAGCAGTGTCATTCCTACACACACACCCAACAACCCCACAGCAGTGTCATTCTTCCCTATCTCCAGAAGACACAAGCCGACCCCCCTTAGCCTTTTATTTTAGTCTTTTAAAACCAGAGAGAACCAAGGCCAGCACAGCCGTCCTCATCTTCTTTTACCCATGTCAGCCTTCAGCTCTTCCCTCTTGGACTAGCTACCAGTTTGCCAAATACAGGCAGAATCTACCACCAACAAACCCTTCAGCAACTAGCATACTCAAACCCGTGTAGCAGATGTGGACCAAGATCCAGTCGCCATCAACACCAAAGATGTCGAACAACTAGATCTGTTATAGGGGATAAGCTCTCAGGAAACAAATCATGACATACCTGAAGGAATCAAATATTAGAAGAAAAAATAAAACTAAAACAAACTATTTGTTGTGTTTTTTTTTATGTTTTGCAGGTCATTGCCGACGAGGAGGGGAAGAAGAGAGGAAGCCAAGCCAAATCCCCTCGGTTTCTTGAATTTCTTGATTGTTTTGATGAATCTAAAAGATTTCTTTGAACTGTTCTAGATTTTTTGGAGGGTTATTTTGTAATTTTTTATTTGTATAATGTGTTGTTTGATTTATTTTGATTTATGGTTATTTTATAAAATATGTAATTATGGGTGTATGTGTAAAACATAATAATAAAAAAAGGATGTGTGTGTGTTTGTATTTGTTTTATATATGTTATTGAATTAAAAAAATTGAAAAGAAAAAAAAAATTAAGTGTTTTGATTTGTATATAGTCAAGTATTTGAAGGACAAGTAAAATCATGTTGTATTTCCTGTAAAAATATAAGAACATGATTTTACATATATTTTTAGGATTTAATAACTAATTTATTAAAGCCTTAAGAATTTGGCTAATATTTTAAAATTTCAAATTACATCAAACCACTAAGTAGTTTACCTCAGGTAGAGTATACTAGAGATGTTAATACCTTCTCTAATCATAATCAGTCCGACTAGTATATTCAGGTTTTCTAGTAACCTTCAATTAAATACTAAGTGACAACTTCTCAAACAAACAAACAAAACAAAAATCCCTATCAACATCTGGCGGGGGATGTACCATACTATTAATTAAACATTCAATTACAACAAAAGCATGTAACCAAAAGATTAATGGAAAAAAAGCATATGAACTAATGTGAGACCAATCTCAACTATATGACGATGTCATCTTTCTGAATAGCTATTATGTCCTGGTATATGTGGTGGGCTGGTAAGATAAAAAATGCCATTTGTTGCTAGAACAATCTTTAAGGCCCATATATTCACCCTTATTATTTGAATAAAAAGTGAGAATCATTGTTTTAAAATGATTTCCACAATGGCTTTAAAACATATAAAGACTTAACTTCAAACTCTTTTTGTAATGGATAAAACTAGACTTATTTTATAAAATGATCAACAAAAATGATGTAATATTTGAATCCATCATGTGAAAGAATATAAGAAATCCATACATAAAAAAAGATAAGTTCAAGAGGTTGTGAGAAGTGTAAAGATGAGGTGGAAAATGATAGCTTATGACTCATATTGCAATAACATGCATTACACAACAAATCTTTGAACAAAGAGGATAACGAGTCTAAGTGAAATTCAGAAATAACATGTTTTAAAATAGAAAAGGCTGAATTTTTGAATCTATAATGTCAATTAGAGGAAGTGGTTTTGATACTTGAGAAAGCAATAATTGGAAAGGATGACTTGATAGCCAACCACTTATATACACCATCCTTAGTGTTGCCCCTGTGCGAAAATTCTTCACCTAAAAACATATTGGTAAGAACTTAACAAATACATTATTGGTGATGCAAAATTGATAAAGTAAAATTAAATTCGTTTTAATATCTAATACACAAACAACATCATTTACTTTAAATACAGAGTTAAGGGTAAGAGGACAACAAGAACTAGTGTGAATGATGGAAAGCTTCGTGTCATTTCCAATCATAACATCGTCGAGGCCAGTGTAAGGAGTATAAAGAGATAAGTTGCTTAAGTCAGTTGTGACATGATGAAAAACACCACTATCAAACAGCCAAATTGAATTGTTAGAGGCAACATTAGCAGCAAGGTGAGCTCGAGGTTACCAAAGGGTTGATTAAGTACTAGGATGCGGTGTAGAGTCTTTATTGGATGACTAAATTGGAATGACAAATATATTTGGGATGCGTGTCCTTTAATGCCACATATTTGGCAATAGCCTAAGTAAGGATATGGTGGTAGACGAATGTCACAAGGACGAGAGTAGAAATTAGGCTAGGAGCACCAGCCAATTTATCTATAAGGATTAGGACACCAATTATTATTGGTATTTTGAGGTCTCTAATTTGTGTTGGTTTTGTTTGTTAGATTGGTAGTTACTAAAAAACAAGCAAGCCCTTTGTTTTTTCTTGAAGAGAGGCTTCAAATGTTAAATGTTTCTCATGAAACTCATCAAATGAGATGGAGTTATCACGAGCTTGAATAATATGAACTGATTCTTTATAGTCATCTCCTAGCTCATCTAGAATCATCTCAGCAAGATCTTCCTCAACTATTGGTGCACCAAATATGGCAAGTTCATTTGTGCGAGCTTTGACTGATTGAAGAAACTCAGTACTATTTAAATTATCTTTGGTGGAATTTTTTAGAAGAGTCTTAACTTGTTTAATACGTCCTTAGGATGGTTTGGCATAGGTGTTAGCTAAGATGATCCATGCTTCTTCTAATGATGTTGCGGCTCTAGCAACAAATGAAATGATTGTAGGAGAAAGTGAGCCAATGAGAGCACTAAGAATGAGTTGATCTTGACAAACCTGTTGTAAGCATGATTTGGTATGGTTGAGTTATTTGCCATTATAATAACAAGTGGACAGGGCTTGGATTTGTCAATATATCCAAAAAGATCGTAACCTATAAAAAAAGTTTGGAACTGAAGTTTCCAAGACATAATTATTGTTAGTGAATTTGATTGGATCTTAAGCAGATGTGTTCATGGTGATGAGTTGAAATTCATTAATATTGAGAATGATTGAATTTGTTGGAGTGGTTGGGTTTGTTGGATTGAATGAGTTTAGAATTTTTGTCGAATTGGTTTAAGTAGTCATTGTAAAAAAAATTTGAAGTTTTATTCAATGGATAGAAAGGAGTTCTGATATCATGTTGGTAGATATTAGAGGTGATTATTTTCGATTTGTTTTAGTTTTTATAAAAAAAAAGTAACCAAACCGATTTAAAAAAACTGAAACCGAACTAGAAATGGTTCAAACCAACCGGTTTCAATTCAATTATTTTAAAACAACCAGTTCAAATTGGTTGACTTGTTTTTGTTTAACTCGGTTTTTTAGGTTCGGGTTCAGTTTTTTTTTATATATTTATTTTAGGCTTGTAAAACAAAAACCAAACCAGTTGATTTTAAAAAATTCTAATTGATTTTTTTTCATTATTTGGTTTTTTCAGTTATTTTTTTATTTATTCAATTTATTCAATTTTTATTTTATTTTTTTACTCACCCCTATTAGATATCAAGATGCGGAGAAAGGCTCATTATTTCCATTAAAATTCAAATGTTATATAATACAAGCAAGTAACAGAAGATAAGATCCTATCATTAAGATTAATGTACAACTCATATATACAATCAAATTTATCTGTGAAATATTCAAATTAACCAACAGTCTTGGAGAATAGGTGTCATCTAACAGCGGCTTCGATCTGGTTTCAAATGGAAAAGGGTTGTTTCGTGACTTCAGTGATGCTAAGACATAGCCTCAACAAGATTCGGGAAACAAAAAGAAGAGAAGAAAAGGATGAAGAAGGAACATTGCTTGCGTTTTTTTGGTATCAATTATTTTCTTAATTTGCAAATTTTTTTTGAATGATAGAAAAAACATTAACAATAGTACTTGCGTTTTTTTCTGGTATCAAACTAGTTATTTAATCTAAGCCAAAAACTTGTCCGTCCGCAACTAGAATATCAACATATATATCAATATTGATGAATGCAAGAATATTAATTCGAGTAAAATATAATTAACTAGACAAAATAATTATTAAAATCAAATCCAACTATATGACGTCGATGCCAACATGAAATCACCATTTTTCTATTCAACATAACAGGGATATTTTTATCCAATTCCACACCTACCACATGCAAAGTAATTAACAGAAGCCTAAGCATCCGAAAAATAGCCCACCTTCACATGGAAGAACTTAAAGCAGCAGATTTTTTAGCCCGATAAATAATCACAATAATTCCTAACTGCAGTTAACTCGTAAGGTGAAGTATCAAGAGCCAGCCACTGCTCAATAGTAAACTTCATCTGTGAACAAGTCGCACGGACCCCAGTGGTAGTCACCTCCACGTAGTTAACGTACCAGCCATGGCCAGAGCCTGACCCATCAGAGGTCAAGTTCAAGGCGCACACAGGTGAACTCAAACAGGGTGCTCTCCCACTGAAGATCTCCAGATTCCCCCACTCAAAGTAGTCGTGACCTGGCTCCATTAACCCTCCCCATGCTTCAATATTGGAGACCCTCACGTAGTCACCATTCATGTTATATAGTCTCACGCTTATGATAGAGTCCGTGCCACCTTTGATGATGGACCCTGTTCTTATGTAAAGAGTGTATACACAATCTTCATTCTGCAAGAGATCAAGAAAACAAAAGGAATAAAGGACAGGTTAAAGAAAAAACAATTGAAGATATATAGATGACATTATGGGGTTTTAGGAGGGTAGCTTACAGAAAAGGCAACGGTGGAGGCGGAGAGGAGGAGGAGAGAGAGGAGGAGGGGGTTTGTGTGTGTGTGTGTGTGTGTGTGTGTAGAAATTCATTGGTTGGCATTTTCCATTTATGGCTGTCTTATTTCGTGGTGTGGCCTGTGCTCTAGTCTATGGTTGTTTTGGAAGGAAAGGACAATATAGGAAATATAGAAAATGTAAATATGACTATGAAATTGCAAATACGTTTATCCCCAATATAATTTATGGAGCAAGTATATATACATCCCTTTATCATGTGGCAATTTCTTTTTTGGTAGAAGATCATGCAAAAAATTACAAGTGAGAGAAGCCCACAAATTAATTATAACAACAAATCCCACGAATTATAAGTACATATATTACATGGCTTTTATGAAAGGAAAAAAAACCAACGCAAGGCTTGAAATTATATATATGGAATATCATTAATTTATTTACTGTCAATCTAAAACATGGTTAAAATATAAACTATCAATTATAATAAATCAAGTAAGAAAAATAAAAATATTTTGAATTATTGAAGATCTTATAAATCAATTAAGTATTTTATTTTATCACTCAACATTTAATTTTTTAATTCAATGAATTTTTTAAAATATACTATAGCTGATTAGATGAAGAATACAAGAAAGAATTTTTACCATAATGCAAGAACTTTAAAAATCATATATATATATATATATAATTCATTTCACAAAAATAAAAAAGATTGCTAGAAATATAAAGTATAAAAGCCACATGTCCTCTTGGCTTTGTGAAAGTCAATGCAATATTTATGAAATTTCTAGATTGGCCTTGCCAAGTGTCAAACACAAAGAAATAGCATGTGGGGACGACATGATGAGAGCGTACACATGCTAAGTGATAAGAGGATGGATTTCCTGGCTATAATTATTTTTTTGGTTGCACCTTCTTTAATTTTTTCTATTTTGGCAGAAGAGAGAGATTTCTGGGACTTTTGAAGATTGATCGAGTAGAGGGGAGGGCATATTCTAATGGCACCAAAAAGGTTCCATGTGAAAGAATCAACAATTAGGTGGCAAGTTCGTCAGTATAATACTGAGTTTTTTTTTATGCTTAATCAGTGTTAGAACATAAAGAAAACTGTATTTGACTTTGAATTGTAATATAATTTTCTTAATAAATAAATTATAAGAAAAGATAGTTGAATGTAGAAGTAATTTTGCATCAAATGATCTTATATCTTTCAAGATAAAGATGATAAATTAGAATGAACAGTCTAATAGTTATAAATTTGGATTTTTTTTGGCTTGAATTCAATGATAAGTTTTAATTTTCATTAAAAAAAATACATTTCCTACCCTTTAGTCCGAGTCAAGATTAAAAAAAAAAACATATAAAATGCAACTTGTCTATTAATTCGTAAAATTACATCAAATAAAATAAATTCAAAAAATTCCTTTTAGAAATAAATCTAATAAAAATAGCACTTGACCTTTAGCTTGGTATCCTAGACCTAAAATACAGAAAGACCCAAGAAAAATGAGCTTAGCCGTGATAGTCCAAACCCAACACCCAAGGTTGGGGCTCGGGCAGCGATAGCCTATCTTCCTAAAGAGCATGAACATGGGTAAAAAGCCTGAGCTTATGTAGGGTGCACACACAACATGGGTGTAATATACCCAGCATTCTCGTAGTTTTGAAAGTGCTTCCTAAACCTAACATACATGAGTTTAGGCAGCGCATCTTGATTTTTTTATTTTTTTTTAACTTTTAATAAGCCTAATTCCAACATTCATCAAAGGTTTTTTATGGAACCCCATATAGGTTCTCTAGTATTTTATACTGATTTAATACACATTATTTCGAGTAGAATACAATTCAAAATATTATAAAAGTAAAATTACACTTTAGCTCATTTTCTCTATAAAAAGATAAGATTCGTGAGTTATATAAATATATCATGAATTTTTCAAGTTAAAAGTTCATAATCTTTTTATTTTCTATTACATATGTATTTTCAAAACATTTCTTTCTAATATATTATTATACATTTTTTCTCTACAAAATTACTGATTTTATCATCACAAAACCTTTATACATGTTTATCAAAAGAGATCTTTTTACAAATACAAACTACTTAACTTACAAGATACTATCTGCTATTATCATAATTATTAATTACCTAACTTATCATAGGTACATGCTACCAGTTACTAATTCTTTAATTTTTATAAATACAAACTACTTAACTTACAGGATACTATTATTAATTACCTAACTTACCATATGTACATGCTACCAGTTACTAATTCTTTAAGTTTTTCATGTCACGTTACAAAATATCATAACTATAAATAATGAATCAATTTACTTAAACTAAGAGATCATTCAATTATCAAATATATCAATTTTATTTTTAAGTATCTTAAATTTTAGAATTTTTCAATTAAAAAACATTGTTTTATATCCTTTTGCTTGCTTAAAATATTTATTATTCAATTAAATTTCTAAAAAAAATGATAATATGAAAAATAATAACCAAAGAATTGTAATGGTTAACAAATAATTTATGTGTCACAGTCACGTACTACCGGTTACTAATTCTTTAAGTTTTTTATATCAAGTTACAAAATATCTTAATTATAAATAATGAATCAATTTATTTAAACTAAGAGATCATTTAATTATCAAATATATCAATTTTATTTTTAAGTATTTTGAATTTTAAAATTCATCAATTAAAAAAAATATTGTTTATCTCCTTTTGCTTGCTTAAAATATTTATTATTCAATTAAATTTATAAAACAATTGATAATATGAAAAATAATAACCAAAGGATTGTAATGGTTAATAAATAATTTATTTGACACAATTGAAAGAAGGTTCAAATGTCCTCCCGTGCATGCCTTTACTTGTAACTTGAAAAAAAAAGAAAAAGAAAAAAAGAAAACAAGAAATGAAAAAGCTTTGGGAAGTGTTGGGCCTTTGGGGGCTTAGGGTTGTAGCCGAGCTAGGTGAGAGTAAGAAATGATGAGATGCCCAAACTGGGCCTGCTGATATCAGATTTAGATGGGCTTTCATAATTAAAACTATAGTTTAATCTGTAATATTGTAATCTGTTGCCTTGTAGATCTAGCCCGGCCCGACCTCTCTTTCAGTTAAATATACTTTCAGATTTTGTGCTGTGTGACAAAACCTGCCACAGAAGAATGAAATATTATATCTCGAGAAAGCGTAAAAACAGTTGATGGGCATTGGTGGAAAAATTCTTCAGGCACATATTAGTAAAGATCTTAATTAGGAATCCTTAATTAATTACAAGGGGAACAAAGCGTAAATCTCAAACCCTCGTCCCTTTGACTAAGTAAAGATCTAAAAATAAGCACCAATGCTTTTTCCTTACCAAACTTATAGTACTTACGTGTTGTCAATCTCCAATTCCAACCTTGTATCTTTCATATTATCTCTAATGCTACCCATCAACAGCTCATGCAACAACCCACTCCCATGCAAACCCTAACTTTCTTCGTTGCACGTCATTACCATTTACCCTTGCCACCCTAACCTCCTCCCTTTTGTCCGCCGCTCCCCATCTCCAAATGGAGGAGCGGGTCTCAAATGAAAGTGGTGACAAAAGCGATGAGCCTCCTCTGCACGCTAGATCCCCACCATCCGGCTGTGACCTTATTCCCCAAGCAAGACGATTTCCATCACGCAAGAAATCCATCAAACACCCATCTCCCGAAGGCGCCATTGAATCTGAAACCTATATTATTCAGATCCCGAAAGATCAAATATTCAATACTCCATCACCAGAAAATGCTATAATTGCGGAACGCCACCGCCTTCCACAAAAGAAGGAGAGGTCTTGTTGCAACCGTTGGTTGTGCATCATCGTTGCATTGATCTTGCTTGCTCTCATTATTGGCATAATCGCCTGGACATTTCACATTCTTTTTACCCCTAAAGTTCCTCTCTTCACCGTTGTGAATGTTACTGTCAAAAAACCGCTTTCTACTCATAAGAAAACACATCTTGGGTACCAAATCACATTCGAAACAGAGAACCCAAATGGAAGGTTGAGCATTTCTTATGTTACCAAAGGGGATGCCACATTATTATACAAGAATCACAAGATTGGTACAGGAAAATTCCCTGAGGTTGATCAAGACGCTGATAGTTCAAAAAGCATTGAGTTGGGTCTATCTGGCTCAAGTGGACCATTGCCTGACGACGTTGAAACGAGCATCCAAGACAAAAGGGGGAAAAAACATGTATCTTTATCAATAAGAATGGATGTCCCAGTCACAATGAAAGGTCTCGGGGGAATTAAATTACGGCGTAAGGAAATCAATGTTGTTTGTACTTTCAAGGTGAGCTCTCTGGGGGCAGGTAAGGATGTTCTATCTCAAAAATGTCAGTCCAAATTCAAGTAGATGGTGCTGATCATATCAATGATGATGATCACACTGCAGTAGTAACCATCAATGTTATGCAAATTAATTTAATACTTCGGGTCCTGTAGTATTTTCCTTTCATGCGAATGTTATTTTATGTTGATTATTCCAGTCGGTGGGATCTATGGACTTCATAAATACGTACTTCTAGTTTCGTTTTATTTCTTCAGGAAAACTAATCATATAATAATCACTTGTGGCTGTAGTCTAATTCTTTGCGTGGCCGTTCTCTGTAAATTTATGCATTTCCCCTGTCTCTTAATGCAAAAGGTGATGGCGCGTTCCATTTTTATTCTCTAGATGACCACCCATGCATCCAGAATTTATGCTCACTGAATTAATTAAGATGATAGTATACATATATCAATCGTTTATGCCTCTCTTGGTAACAAAATTTTGGCATCACCTGTTGATTTGCTACTGGGGCAAAATCAATTGTGCTCATCTTTCTACCAGTTTATCATCTTGAACTTAGATAATGGATGGCCTACCTATGATGAAGCCCAAATAAAATCTTAAAAGTTTGGAAGTCCAGTACTTCACAACTCCATGTCCTCCACGGTCTAAATGAAGTAAAACTAAAATGATGTATGAGAATGAGGTTGTA